TGGACGACTTACCAGGTCTATCGGCACCAGAAGCGTCACTGTCACAGGTGTACGCACGTTGGTTGGACGTCTCGGGGTCACGTCGGAGCGTCGATCGTGAAGCAGCTGTTCAACAAGTCAACGTTGAAATTTCCCTGCCAGCTCAAAGTGACTGTGCACGCTGAGAATTTTAAGGAAGTGGGTGTTGCTCCCTTGCCTTTATTTAGTAAACTAACCCTGCAGCCAATGAAGGCCGCTCATTCATATGCTGATGACCGGTTTGGGCGCCAACATCACTCATCAGCCAGTGCAGTGCAGTGGGACATGCGCGCGGGAGGCTAATCATAGAGATGGATATCTGACCTGGAAAGACCAGTTGTATGATGGACTTTATCCTTAGATATCTACAACAGCAGCCGTTTCAGGCTCTACTTTGTAAAATGGACTGCTTTTTCTTTTCCTCATTTGGAATTTTTACTAATAGAGATAAAAAGGGCCATAGAACAATCGAGGAGGACCTCCTTGGTACAATGAAGCGATGTAGAACACACAACTTAGCACCAAAAATCGACATTAAGCTAAACAATTTATTGACATATTTGGCCATTTTTCGGCAGAAATTTTTTAATGATGTGATAGTTTTATAGTCCTTAAGTCAGAGAAAGCACAAGTCAAGTCGCATTAATATGGAAATTGTAGCGTTGGCACCAAAAATTGTATTAATATTCCTGATGCGCACTTGATAGACAATTTTGTCCCACCAGTAACGAATGTTGGCTCCGACATGATAAAAGACGAGCCAATTAGGCCATGTTGATTTGATTATATGGATGACATCCGCGCGCGCATGAATTTTCGGCCGTTTCCAAAAAAAAAAAAAAGTTTTCAACCATACTGTAAATCGTGCAAAACAGTTGCTAAATGAGCAAAAATATACCATAAGTTGCAAGGAAAACATTTAGAAACGATACCAATGTCGTAGAATGCCAAAATCAAAGGAAAAGGGACAAAAATGTAAAGAAATGAATTCGAAGAGTAGATTATTCGCCATAACATATTCTGTGCCATTTGTTCCACCTTCTTGACCACGTAGATTTCATAGTGAAAGCAACTTTTTTTTTTGTGCAAAACTTTTTTTTTTATTCGCACGCGCGCATCAGTTTTGGGGTTCCCAGAGGATGTCATCCATATAATTAAATCAACATGGCCTTATGATAAGCCCAGCGGAATGTGACCTGCATGCTTGTATTATCCGCGTTGGTAGACACGCCCTTTCAGAAGAATTGTTCGTGCCTTTTGATAGCACGTCGGCAGAACGTACTGCGCTTGCTCATAACCCTGATTTTTCCCGGTTTTCGTTGGATTTTTGGTCAACGTTGCATTAGAATTTTCCATGTTGCAGAGGATGTCTTTTCCAACACAACATTTGGAAACTACAGACGGAATGTTAACCTTATATGCGCAAATACAACCTTATATGAGACGTTCTGCCGAAGTGCTACGAACAATACATTACGGGTTTCGCGCAGGTGCAGTACGTTCTGCCGACGTGCTCCTTTTGATATGCTTAACCGCACTACGTTTGCGTCAGAAAAAATAACAGTTAAACCAGTTGACCCATTATAGTGGTCTGCGACTTTAACGCTCGAGGGCGGATGTAGGGTTCGGCTCTGTGTTTCACGCGTTTTTAGGCTTATCCAACTACCGGTATTGTACATCTAAATCTAACATCTAAATCATTGATCCTGATATTTTCCTATTATTTTACCTTTACTTTCTGCAAACTACGCGTAGATGTTTTGATGGATCTTAATTGTCTTCAGCACTGAGTTTTTTCTACCAATGGGCAAGAAGTTTATATAGTTGTACACCAGTAGTAAGTACTAAATCAATTATTGCCTTGCAATTCAGTTGTACACATACACAGTCAACAAGTATGATGTGACAAGTGAGATAATACATTCATCTTTATTTTGTAAGAAGTTGTTTGATCTTGGGGAACAGCTTGAGTGCATTTTGTGTTGTCACTTGCATCACGGTTTCCATGGAGACACCCTTGATCCTGGCAATGTGCTCACAGGAGACCTTGATGTTCATTGGTTCATTTCTCTCCTGCAAGACAAGGAATACTAAAATGTACCAGGACACTAGTATTGTCAACATACATTGTACAAGCACAAGTATATTTCAGAAAGGAAACATGTTGAAAAACAATTCTGCAATGTTTCCATCACTCAGATGCCAGATCAATGAGTGAGTGAGTAACTGAGATGTCAAATGTTATGTCCCTTGCCGGCAGTCAACTCCCAAAAAAAGCTAGGTTTGCTTGGTACTTGCTGGGGATGGTTACATAACCAGAAACACATATTTCCCCAGGCTTACCATTTTGACAGGCCCCAGTGCAGGTGAGTCTGTCTCCAGCATCAGGTTATCCAGGGGGATGGCCTTCACAAGCTTCTGTTTCTGCATGACGGACATTCAAGCTCCAAACTTTTAAAATCAATATTATCCAGAATCTTCTGTATTGTAAGAAATATTACTTAATCCTATTTGTAAGGATCACAAAAATTACTGAAAACAAAGGTTTTAGTTGCAATATAAGGAAACTGGTGCCTAAACTCAGATTATGCAGAAGCTGAACTAAGACAGAAAACCCACCTGTTCACTCCTGACAATGCAGGGAGGAACAGAGAAGAAGTACCCACTCTGGACCCCCTGCAGAGCTACAGACACCTTCCCATCAAAGGCATGCAGCAGCACTTTGGTGGCACCTGGGCAAGAAAGGCAGAGTGCCGTTTTAGTCGACTTGAAAGACAATGACATAATAAATGTATCCAGTTGTGAATATAATGCAATATAGGTTGAAAAAACATGTCAAGTACAATGTACCTTGTTCTTTCAGCAGCTGAATAACAGGTCTCCCTGCAGAGCGTGAGTGCACATTTCTGTGGAACATGTAAATGAAATTATGATGACATCTACATACATAGTAATATTTTTGATGTGAGAAAAACAGGTAGCACAAAATCTGTTTCACACAACAACAAAAAGACAGGTGAGTGCTAGTGTCTGCTGTGAAAAAGGAACGTAGAAAACTGTTAACTTACACTGGTAAATCATGCTTCTTGGCCAAGTCAATCTGAAGATGCAAATCAAGAAAATCATTCTAGAGCAATCTACAAGGAGCATGTCTATTGTGACATGAGTAGAAACAATTTTGAAGGAATCTGTGCACTGAAAATAAACTTCCTTTCCACCAAAATTCTGCTGTAGCATTTAAACAACAGTAGTAAACCAGTATTAATCCACTTTACCCTGGATCCTAAACTTTAAGTATCCTTACTGGTTGTACTCCAGGATTGCTGCAAAACATAAAGCACTTTAGAGTCAACATTGGCACCGCTGGCATGATCTGCTGGTTTTCTGACAGGGTAGAGTACAGTAAAAACAGATGAAACTTTAAAATTTTGTGCTTCAACGCCTGCTTAGAGATTAGATGAAAACCTTAAGTACATTTATCCCATGTGCCGAATCTCACCTGCCTTGCAAACACCTGTCTCTGCACGTCTTTGTCAGAGTCACCCTTTACGTTGAATGGTGTGAAGTCCAAACCAACCTGTACAATAAAACACAAAGGACCAAATGTTGAACACAGGACATTTTTACAAGGAATAACTGACATCAGGGAAGTCAATAAATAGACATTAATAGTGAAAAACGTACCTCACCAATACCAACTAACTTTTCCACATTATCTCCTATCACTGGTTCCACTTGCCCAAGGTCCTGGAAAATATTGAGCATTCATGATTTGGGTTCAAGGAAGAAAAAAACAAAATAAGACATAGCATAAACAAAT